TCTCTGTTGCCTTAGTATACATCTGCAGTAAATATTTGCAACCATTAATTGGTTGCTTCTTTTTATTATTTTAGAGCATCAGTGTCACAATGTGTATTTTCATATTTTTATAATAATTAGAGGTTGATGTTGTGACAATAAATTTGCTAGTATTTGGTGAACAAGCTTGGTAGTCATACACGAACTTGAATAAATATATTGTCACTCTAAAGAAAGCATTTTCAGTTCTTTCAGTATTTTTCTTGTCAAACTTGGATTAGATATATTGTTGTACTAGGTTATATTACTCTATGAGGAATATTTAGATCATTAAAATACATGTACCGGTAGTATTTATCTGCTAACATGAATTGTTTACTACAATTACATCTTTTACAGCTATATTTTGTTTATTACTTGATAGGAGGGCTGATGAAATTAAAAACAACCTAGCGGCCAAGTTGTTGACATTTTGCATTAATATATTTACAAAGACAGACATGACAGATTATAGTAGCAAGCGTGTGTGTAAATACTTTATCAGATATTTGCACTTACTAACCCTGCTTTTCATGAAGTCAACATACTTGAAATGAAAATACTGTGAAGTCATGAAAATCATGTAAAGCTTTTAGTGAGAATCAAATCTACTCTTACAGAATTAAATGACGATGACATTTAAGTCAGTTAATACGCAGTTCATTCAGTATGTGTGATAGATGAACTACGTATTTGTTTCAATAGCTGATTGGCATTGACATTACAAGATCGGACATTATGGATTATTATGGATGAAGTTGTATGTATCATAGATCCTTCCAAACTGCGGCAGCATATCTACATCAGAGTATTTTATTAAAATATGGATCCAAGCCTTATTATGCTTATAAGTATATTCATAACTCGTCATATCAGCAACTTTGCAAGAAGTCTTTGCAAACAGTATGTTTGCAAATTTACAGCAAAGTTACTCTTCTTTGCAAGGAAATTCGACAGCAACTATTTGCAGGAAGACATGCATTTTCATAATATGTACTTTGCGTAGATCTCTTGTTAATATTCGTTGAAAATGATTTTTTCGAAATGTTCGTGAAAACTACCAGCCTAGTTGCTGTGATAATGATGTTTTCATGGGAGTCGATGTCTTGTGTATTTATCACAAAGATCTTCCCTTTCGCTGGCAGAGTTAAGAAGCGAGTGTTTTCCAGGCAAAATGTTTGTCACGCAAAAAGACTAATAAATCAAACTGCAGGCTGAAAACCGTATATTTTTTAAAATCGTTTGTTTTATTACTTGATTTCCTTGAGTCGTATAACTTCAATCATCTCAAATAGCAGACTTGTATCAGTTGCAAGGGGTTTTTGCTAAAAGGCTCGTATTCTAATTTAGGAATAATTTTAAATATTTCCTATTTTGTTTTGAGATGCCGCAAATACTCGAAGCTTTCTTTGAATATTACTCAATTAGAGCCCGCTTAATACATGGTTAAAAGTAGATAAAAAATTATAAGCTTTATATTTATGTATTCATTTTCCTCTCAGTGATTTCCAATGGAGTCGCAACAAATGATGTATGATGTAGGTAATGTAGGTTGAGTGCATGGAAGCTCGCCTAAAAGCAATCTCGTAATATATCTATAATTTCAAATAATCTCCCAACTTACCCTAGCACTAAGCCTACATTCGAGTTTTGGTTGTCCTCTGAAACGTACATATGCATTACATTTTCAGTATTTCCCATTTATAATTACGGAATACTTTTTTTGTACATGTACATGTACTGCCAAATCCATCTTTATGTGATAGGTATTTTTGATGGTTAAAAACCTT